AAGAATGAGTCAGCGGAGGATAACCTACTTCATACCTCAAAGGAGCTTCTGCATAACTGTAGATATCTATGTGCGCTGCAGTGGTCCCTTGACCCTTTGCTGAAAATCCGAAGTAATCAGCTAGGCTGATGAATCAGTATTTTGTCAGAATGCTTGCGGCCTCATCAGCATGTGCATGATACATCTCATTGATGAGGATGATGGTAATCAGCCTTCGAAAACAATGATTTCTTTTTTCATATTTTCATATTCAAACCATTGGATGGATGAAGCATTAGCATTTTGTTTTTTATTAATATTTTTATTTACTTTTCATACTTTTCATATATATGAGTATAAAAAGTAAATAAAAAATATTTATATATATATATATATATATATATATTCCAGATTTACTTTTTTTCTTTCTTTCTTTTTTTTGGGCGGTGGGCAAAGCTGAATTTTCTCTCGCTGTTACTCCAGTCTTCAGTGTCACATGATCCTTCAGAAATCATTCTGATATGCTGATTTGGTGCTATTATTATCAATGTTAAGCACATTCTGCTTAATGTTGTTGTGGAAATCGTAGTACATTTTTACTTTGAGATTTTTTGATGAACAGAAAGTTTTCAGCATTTGTTTGAAATACATAATTTTATAACACTGCAAATGCCTTTACTGTTACTTTTAACAAATGTAATGCATCCATGCTGAATAAAAGTATTGATTTATTTCAATATAACAGAATTCTTTATGTATACAAATATATACACTGTTTTATTTTCTAAATATTCACTGCTCTGTAATTATCACCACATATCAAGTGAAGTGTTATATTTAACAGCATTCAGTAATGTATTTTTTTATTATTTCTTGTTACTATAAAACTGCAGTTTACTAGATCTACCAGATTTTTTTTTTTCATTCAAACACATTCTAGATATGAATGTAAGTGCTTTTTTTGGCCTTGTTTCAGCACCACATATTAGCTCTCTGTGATCTACAGTTACATCTATTTTCCCCATCAATGCAAAATAGTTTATTGACTGTGAAAATGGCACAGAGCAACGTTGTTTTGTGAATATCACCTGATGTGACGTTTCCTGCTGTTTTATTCTCGCACCGCTCTCTTGCCAGCTCAATCTCATTTACCACGTCACACATCTGAACAGCACCAACCTGCAAAAGACACAGAGAGAGAGAACATTTCAGTTGTTCAACCACAGCACAACCTTCAAAGCTTCAATCTCTTTCGTCTCAGTGATTCACCACAATATTATTCTCAGGATAGTCTATTACTTTAAGGTGTCAGCTTTCATCTTGTAAGGCTTTCATTTCATATGCATATTTATGGATTGGAGCAAATCCTCATGGGGGCTTATTTTTGCTAAATATTTACAGTGAAGGCCTACTGGGAATTAGATCAACCACTGCTTGAAAAATCCACAACTGAACTACTTATCAGATTTTAGCTTGCCATACACCATTCTTATTGACAGTCCAATGTACTTCTATACGCTAGCGGCACACGGACAAAAGACTGTCGTTGCTCTGTGGAGATGATATTATGCCTGTAGGGGAGAAAAGGCGCATGGGGCCAGTGAGTAATCGTCGGATGGCTCACTGATGTCCACTGCTGATGACAAATTCATGCCGTCAGTGGCAGACAGACTGCGGGTCAATAAGAACGTGAAAGTCCAACAAACAGCTTGAGAAGGTCAATGAAGACGTGGTGCTGGGGAAGAGGGGTATAATGGACAGGGCCGACTGAATCCCTAGTGTTAATAATGCTGTATGTGTGTGGGTGTTTGTGTCATAGTCTTTGGGTGTGTAGTGTTTATTGTCTCGAGTTAGCATCCGAGCGTGCTTCTGTTTGGTATGTTTGTGCGTGGGCCTGCATTTGTGTGTGTGTGGGTACAGGTGTGTCTGTGCATTTCAATGTGAGAGACCTGAGATCAGCGACTTAGAACAACAGGTTAGTGAGAAATGGAAAGGGTTTGATTTACTTCTGCTGAGTTCAGTACTAGCTGAGCACTACGGCCACTGACATGAATGGAAATACTAGCCAAGTTTTCTCCATGTATTATAGGCCTTGTTGGGCCAAATCACACTTGAGCATGGACTGAAGCACTGAAAACATTTATAAAATAAATATACTCCAGTCAATGCCTTCATAACTAGTTGATGGGAAGTGAAGTGTTGTGAAGTGTGGTGATAGTCGAAGTGTGGTGTTGAAAAAAAAAAGTTTTCTATTTTAATATATTTTAAAATGTAATTTATTTCAGTAATGGCAAAGCTGTATTTTCAGCAGCCATTACTCCCAGTCTTCAGTGTCACGTGATCCTTCAGAAAGCATTTTAAAAAGCTGATTTATTCTTCTTATTAATACTGAACACATTTTTTTAAATGTTTTTTTTTTCTTGTGGGAGCCATAATAATTTTTTTCAGGATTTTTTGATGAATAGAAAGTTCAAAAGAGCAGCATTTATTTGAAATATAAAAATTGTGTAATACTCACTTTTAACCATTTTAATTAGGGATGCAGATATTATCTGACCAATATCGGAATCGGTATAGATCACGTCAGCATTGTGGCTCATTCTTGAAGCAAAGTTTAGCCTGAATGGTGATTGGATTCACTGTTTTGGATCGCTGCATTTAAACTGAGAATGCAGGTACAGAATGACGCGTTCGGTGTATGAGTAAACAGTAGCACGTGCAGCGGCAGCCTCCCCCGGGTCCTAATGCCTGCTTAGTAAAACGTTTTAATTCCGTAGGGGGCGCTGTTGGCCTACTTCTAATAAAATGAAAGCAAAATACACAAAAAATATTTAGACGGTGTTTCTGATTAAATAAAGCAGTAATTGATGCCATAAAATCTTGAGTATGTTTTGATTTAAAGGTCAGAAGCTATAGCTTACATGAACAAAAAATAAATAAATCACAAACATGACACTTAAATTAAATAATTTTATATATACTGATTTATTCATTAATGTGTAACGTTATTTTTTTTTAAGAAATTATAAGCTCTAAAAGATTTTCTGAATTTTTACAACTCTTTTGCTTTAGACCATTTACAAATGTTAAATCATAAAATAAAATGTTAAGGTTACCACGGCATCTTTCTGAAAAAAAAATGCAGTGATTAATATATAGTTTATTTATAGTTATTTTCAAATCTTCAATGTACTGTCATTATAAAATAACTTTATTATTGTTTATTT